AACAACAACAACAATGAATTAATATATTTCCAAACAGTAGTTTTCAAATTGGCAAAGCAATACAATTTTCACAGAATAGAATGAAAGCCAATATGTGAATTATATTTTAAAAATATTTAAGCTACCATGTTGTAATGAACAATAGTGAGACTAAAATTTCTCTTTCCTTTGTACTGAATTATTAACATTTAAAAATATCAGACTATTTTTATTAAAAACATGACTACAATATCTATGAGATCATCTACTTTCTAGTTTTTCTTTTCCTATGCTTTATTTAAAAAATTTAATAAATAGATATTTATAGAAATTTGGGTAACAAAGCAATATCTAAATTTGTAGGCAAACTACATAACATTTTGAGTCCTCACCCTCTTCCACCAAGCCACATGCAGCTAATTCAGTATGTGTTTACTAAATTAAAAAAACGACCAAATAGCCAAATACATACCTTTGTCCTAGTTGTAGTTTTATTCTGTCTCCTTTCATTCCACACAAATGCAATAGCAGCCATAAAGTGAACACCATGATTCATTGAGATGGGACCCAATAATTTAAGTATCTGCTGTCTCAAATTCTAAAACAGTGCAAGCAAAGGACAAGTAGAATTAAGAAACAAAACAAAACAAAAAACCAAATAAAAATATCCAGAACTTTCTGAAAACACTAATAACTAGCTTTCATTATTAGTTCTCCTTGAACTTGGTCTAGTGATCCACTTAGGAAAATTAGCTAATAAAATTTGTAACACAAAAGGGAATTGTTCAGTTATCACTGATTATGAAGATGGTGGAGGGACATGGTAACAGTTTATTCTGTTACACAGAGTGTTGTCGTAAGTTGATGCCAATCTTAATGCAGCTAACAACAACAATATGCAACTTATGTGTTTTTATTATCAGATTATAGTAAATAAATTTTTAATAGTGTCATGAGAGGCTACCATGGCCATTTTAATTTAAAAAGACAAAAAACTCTATATAGTAACAATTACCAGTCAGTTAAACAGAAGTCTCCTCACTGTGATGAGAAAGAAAATCACAACATATGAATTTCAACTTAGTAAGTTTGATAGAAAGCATTTTTTAAAAAGGAAAGAGCACCTTCTAATTACTTGAAATTTACAAGAAACAACAAAAGGATAATCTGACTGTTTTGTCAATGTTTTGACAAAATTTTCCATGGATGAAGTCCAGAAAGAAAGACTGGAGGAGATGGAAGTATGAATGGAAACAAGATGACAGAGAGCTACTGGGAGGAGTGATGATATAATGCGGGGACTACAGTCAATGTCACAAAACAAAATATGTACGAATGGCTGAGTGGACCTTCCATCTGTTCTCTAGACTTTCAGTCAAATCACTGTAAGAAAAAGTTTTTTAAAAAGACCAGAGCTAAGAAACCCTGTTAAATTTCCTTCAATATATTTATCTTTCTCTTTTCCCAGTTCCATGTGTGTCTCTATGCTTCCCAGATCTAGGAAGCCAAGCTTAGGAGCAAGATCAGGCAACTATGGGATGCCACTCTGATAATTTGATAAAGAGTACAAGATACTTTTTTTTTGGTTTGCCAACCATATTAGTTTAATAAGTTGTATGACCACTCACATTAGTCCTCAAACAACATGGGTTTGGCCAATCATGTTCCATACTCATGTTTCCTTGGCAACATGGGCAGTAACAAGTCATAGTCCCTTATGAAGAATTTACACCTGTTGCAGCCAGTAGGGCCTTAGGGCCACTGAGGGCCTGTGAGGACATGTTTGGGCATATCACACTGTTTAGTAGATTTTTCACAAATATTCCTAACATATTTTCTAACATATAACATAGCAAATTCCTAATATATTTCTTACTCTTATTTCTAACATATAACATAGCAAATTCGTAATATATTTCTTACTCTTATTTGTAACATATGACATAGCAAATTTCTAATATATTTCTTACTACAAGATACTTTTAAACATAATTTTCTATAAAGTAGAAAATTTGAAAAGACAGAATTTTAAAATTCAACTATTAAACCCACTGTTGTTGTTAGGAGCCATTGAGTAAAAAATTATCCCATTACCCTGTGATAAATTATTTCAATCTAGAGATGAAACTTCTGCATTCATTTTTGTGGACAATGTTTTCATAATTGCAAATGCAACATTGTTTTATTATTATTATCTCTGTTTTATTGATCTTTTGGCTAGGAACACAACACACTTGAGGCTATATCACCAGAGTACCTTTGCTCTTTCAAACTCTTCATTACTGTCTATCTAGTGAGCTTCTTCAAAACCATGATTATTAATGGTTATATAAAGTAACTATCAGATAATTTACTTAACCATTTCCTTATTTATTGTGTTGATTCTTTTTTACATTAAATAATGTTATGGTGAACATACTGTCTATTCATCTTGGCATTATTTTTATTATATTGGAATTTATTTCTTATATTCTTTATCATAGAGTTGGAACTAGCCCATAGCTGACTCTCTGGAGGGTTTTCAGAGGCAGTTAATCGTATGGAAGGAGACTGCCCATCCTCCTCCCTCAGAGCAGCCAGTGGCCTCCAACGGTATCCCTTCGGGACTGCAGTACAGCTTCTTACAACTAAGCCACCAGAGCTCCCTAAAATTCTCTAACCATGTTACTAACTTTCCCCCAAGACAGTTCTACATGTTAAAACAGCTATTTAGACCAACACCAGTCATGGAGTAAATTCTAATTCTATGAAGTCCATGTGCTTCAGCGTTAATCTGAGCCACAGGATTTCTGTGACTGTATTCTTTATTGAAGCAGAGTGAGGTACTTAGTAGCACTCCAAGGCATGTCTGAACGGCCAACCTTTAGGCTAACAGCTAATCATAATCTGCTTGTTCCATTCAGGGATTTTTAATAAAGTCTTTAAAAAGGGGAAGAGAATACTGATGCATGTTAAGGAAAGGTATGAATTAAGCAGAGTAACTATTATAAGAGAGATGAATTGATTACAAAATGAACCTTATTAGAATACTTTTAAGTGAAATATGTTAGACACAAAAGAACAGCTACTCCACTTATAAAAAACATGAGAAGGGATATCTGTGTTCAGAAAAAGATTAGTGGTTGACAGAGGCTAGGCTGGGAAGAGAGACTACAAACTGGCATGAAGTGGTGATAGACATATTCTAAAATTAGATAGTGGAGGCAGTTTTATAACCCTCTAAATAAAAAACTAAATTATAGACTTAAAATTAGGTCTATTTTACAGTTTGTCAATTATATCTCACTACAGCTGCTAAGCAATACTTCACAATTAGTCCATGCAACATGCCGTAGATACTAATTCACAAATGTGCAATATAACCTTTCAGAATGGCTTTCATTGACTCTTTTTTTAAAAAAAATATTAATTTTTTGTGTGTGTACCATCAAATCAGATCTGATTGGTACAAGAGGAGTTTGTCCCTCCTTCTCCAGCAGAACACCTGGTGGATTCGAACCACGCACCTCTGAGATTGCAGTGTGGCTTCTTGCCACTAGGCCATGAGAGCTGCCTCAGCCTTTACAGACTCTTAAACTCTACAGATTAAGTGTGGTCTTTCTAACCTTTGTGGCTCCCAGATTAATAGTAGTAACAGATGCAGACGCAGCCACAGCCATCTTTTCTGAAGAATCAGCCTGATGCAGGATACTCCAAAGCAATGTCACAGAGGACAGGATCATATGAAGGATTGAGAGAATTCCACTCCGTGCTTCAAATAAGTGTTTTTGATCTACATTGACCAAGAGCTAATATAATTGGGGACGGGGGGAGAAGAAACATTATTCACTGAAATTTACAAATGGAAACTTTTGAGACTTCCTAGTCTTTGTAAGAAATGGAATATGTACATAGTCTTACTTGGTGATACTGGGTAGTTGGATCCAACAAACAATAATGGATAATAGCTGTGATGCCTTCCAAAAGAGTAAGAATCATATCTGGTGGGATCACTGATGCCATCCAGAGAGGCCTGCAATATAGTGCATTCACCTTAACATGTTTTCTGAAAGCACAATTGTTTTGTCACTAAGACAGGCACAAATTAGGCATTTATATATATATATATTAGGTGAATAAATTACTAAAAGAGTAAGAGCATGTGATTTCCTAGTCTACAAAATAAGGATGTTCAATTAACATACAAAGGTATATTCTGGCTAAAAACCTTTCAGCAATCTCCCATGAATCTGAGTTGAATCCACAGGAACCAACTCCTTGTTAAATAAACCTCCGCGGTGAACCACTAGCACCTGGGTAATATCAGTTCTAAACTTGGCAGGCTGCTTTTCTTTTTTTACATATCATAACTTAAGTCAGACTAAGGAAAAACCACATGCCAGTCTATTGGGCATGTGGCTAATTTTTCATTAAGAATTGAAGTCAACTTGATGCTAACCAAGAGTAACAATTTTGAATATGGACTAAGAACACAAATGAAATTTGCCTCCAAATCAAGAAAATCCAAAACAAGAAACAAAATCAAATGGCAGATGAATTTTGTAAATTTAAATTAATTTCGGTGTGATGCAAATTTGCACTTAGAAAACATATTGGAGATAAAACCAGGGAAACTCCCTGTTAAGCTTTCTTTTACTAGCTCAGCCAACACAATATCAACATTTTTACTCTTAAACAGCCTATTTTCCTTATATTGATACTATCCAGCTGAAATTTTCCCTTTTGTTAAAATTACATACTATTTGCAACATATTGATAGTTACTAATGTATTTACTCAAATTGTGCCTGGCCTTCTAGAAATTGAAGCAATCATACGCATGTACAATGCCAATGACAAGATAAAAATCAACACTTACCTACTATCAGACAAAGAGGTTTCGTATTTGTACTGCTGAATTAGATTATCCAAATTTTTGCAAAGCTGTAGTGTCACCGAAACCACCACTCTCTGTAGAACTTTTCCCATGTAAGGCAGGGTAGACGTGATTAAAGCAATCCACTGTGGGTGCATTTTACAAGCACAGTGTTGATGGAGTGCTCTTATCACGGCACAGAGGAACATGCCTTGACACGTGATCGGCTGAGCGTGCAGATACTGAAGAGAAGTCATGGGCTGATGAGGATTGATGTGCTCCAGGTCAGACATGACAAAATCAAAACCACTTTCATTCTCTTCAGGGATAGTCATTACCCTGTGTTCAAGAACAATCAGCCTTTGGAGCACCTTCAAGAGCTGTGACTGGAGTGTGCTACCATTGTCAAATTCATCCTCTGAGAAATTGATAAGACTGTCCTCTGAGAAACCTTCTTCCACGGCAACTAGGTTCTTACCTGCCATTTTTTCACTGTGCCATTTCTGTGCACTAAAGATAGATGACAGTAAACAGTGAAGAATTACTTTCTGAACTTTACATTTAGATAACATGTCAGTAATAAAACTAGGGAAACCCTTAGCTGAGCTTTCAATTACTTTTGCCAGCTCAGTAAATAGGAGTGTCAAAATCTCTATGCTCATCATCTGCATGTTTCGATTGCCTATTAAATCTTGTGTAGTGACCTTAACATGAGTTGGGTAATGACTACGCATGTAATACAAGCAGAGAGAAATAAGGATTTCTATGTACATAGAACTGCGGAAGTTATGATTAGAGTCTACTGGAATGTGACTGTAAAAGTCTTTGCCCATAACAGAAATGCGATGTCTGGCCAATAAATTTTGAAGCAGAGACAACTGCGGAGTATACGCATTATTTACACTAGTAGTTGAAATGGCATTTACAAAGGCGATGGGATTAGTTTTCAAAATGGCTTTGATAGCAGAGAAAGCATACAGAGTCCTTGATGAATCATACAACTGGAGATACAGGAGCACATGTTGATAGAGAGGATGAATGTTGAAGTTGGGAGATTTCCGTGATCCTGGAGAACCCATGTCACTCTCGATTTCAGAGATTTCTCCCTCTCCACAGCTATACCAGTTCTCTAAGTCCAGACCATCACTAAAGAATACACTGGACTGTTTGAGCTTTTCATTTGAAATTCTTTTCTTGTCGTCATCCTTCTTTCTGGCAAGTTTCACTTTGGGTTTTGCTCCTGGTTGCTTACCGGACTCTTTAACAATTGTTTCTTTCTCAGAGATCTTTTCTGGTAATTTTTCTTTGAAGCTGAACTGAATGCTGCTGTGACTCCTCTGTCTAGATCTTGTTTCTGTGGAAGCACCAGAAGGCTCCTGAAGTGTCAGTGCAGTTCCAGAAATGCACGGTGAGGAGCTATTTCTGGAGATCACATTTGCCATACACTCAGGGCCTTCTTCCACAGACACAGAAAGAAACCGGGCACTATCCTTATCCACCATATCACTCTGACACTGCTCAGTGGACTGATCTTCATTTTCCATTACCTCCTCCTCCGTATCTAAACCACTGCACTTTGGTGTTAGAACTTCGTTTTCTAATCGAGACGCGTCAGATGCAGATTCTGCTTCAAGGCCACTTATGACTTCACATATTAGGTCAAACACTACCTGTTGAACATCATCATCTGGAGAGCTTGCCTTTGGTGGCTGAGATTCCTCTTGGATATGTACATTTTCTGCATCCACTTCATAACTCAAATTATCCCCAGCAGAGGAATGTGAACATCCAGAGTCAGAACTCTGAAGTATTTCTATCTGTTGATCTGGAAGATCAAAATCAGATACAACCATTGGAATTGTCTCACTGCTGGTACTTAGAAGAGAAAGTCTGTCACTTAATGGATTAACTGTAAGACTGAAGTTCTCTATTTCCTCCATGGTAAGTGGCTTTTCACCATTTCCTCTGGATGCAATCAGTTGCACTTGGTTTACTGGAGTAAAAGAAAATGTGAAAAGGAAGAAAAAACAAAGTATTAATTAACATCATTGAAAAAAAGAAAGGCAGGCTTAATGAAAAATTATGATAATAACTTGTATTATGTACTTATTTTTTAGTAAAAGTATATTAATTTGCCATTATGATAAACCTTTTCCTCAGCAAATTATGCAGATGACAGCTAGTTTACAGATAATTCAAGAACAGAAGTACTATTATTTAAATCAAATGTCATGTTTAACACTGATACAATATAAAGCTGTCCTTTCCATTCAAAATAAGACATGCTTCTTATTTCCTTCTTTTGCTTTATTGCTATTGCTAAGATTTCCAATACAATATTGACTAGGAGAGGTGATAGTGGGCATCCTTATCTAGTTCTGTTCTCCAAAGGAATGCCTTTAATTTCTCTCTATTTAGAACAATGTTAGTTCCCAGGTTTGCATATATACTTTTACTATGTTGAAGAAATTCCCCACTAAGCCTGTTTTGTTGAGTGTTTAATCAGGAAAGGGTATTTGATTTTGCCAAAGGCCTTTTCTGCATCAACTGATAATGTGGTTCTTATTCTTCGCTTTATTTATATGATGAATTACATTGATTGTTTTTCTTATCTTGAGCCATCACCCTAGCACACCTGTTAGGAGTCCCACTTGGCATGGTGAATTATTTTTTTTTATGTATCATTGTATTCTATTGGCCAGGATTTTATTCAGGATTTTTGCATCTATGTTCATAAGAGATATTGGCCTATAGTTTTCTGTTTTGGTGGTGTCTTTACCTGGCTTTGTTATCAAGAATATGTAAGAGATTTCCAAATTGGCAAAGAGGAGAAAAAGTTATCTCTCTATGCAGATGATATGATAGTTTACTTAGAAAACCCTAAATACTCAGCAAGAAAACTACTGGACATAGTTGACCAATTCAGCAAAGTGGGAGGATACAAGATCAACACAAAAACAATTTGGATTTCTTTATAGTGACAGAGAGAATACAGAGCCGGAGCTAAGAGAAACAATACCCTTCACAATAGCAAATCACAAGATTAAATACTTGGGAGTAAAACTAATCAGAAGCACAAAGAATCTATTCAAAGAAAATTACAAAACATTACTACAAGAAACAAAAAGAGACCTGGAGAAATAGAAGAATATACCTTGCTCTTGGATAGAAAGACTCAATATTGTGAAAATGACAATACTACGATAGGCAATTTACATGTTCAATGCAATCCCAATACAAATCAATCAACTTTCATTTGGAATGGAAAGAGGCCCCAAATAAGCAAAGCACTCCTTAAAAAGAGAAACAAGGTAGGAGGAATTTCACTCCCTGATTTCAAATCCTACTTACACTGCCGTGGTGGTCAAGGCAACGTGATACTGGTACAATGACAGACACATAGATCAATGGAATAGAACTGAGAATCCAGAAATCAGCCCATCTACATATGGTCAACTGATTTTTGACAAAGAGATGAAATCAGTTAAGTCATGAAATGACACACTTTTTAACAAATGGTGTTTGGAAAATTGGGAAACTATCTGTAGAAAACTCAAGCAAGATCCACACCTTACTCCATACACAAACACCAACTCAAGGTGGATCAATGACTTAGGACTAAAACCAAGGACTACAAACTTCATTAGAAAAAAGCTCGGAAGAACTCTAGAAGCCCTAATCCACAAAATAAACAGTCATTCAAGCATCCTAAAAAACCTACAACCAGGAGAAGATAAAATAGATGAATGGGACCTTCTAAGAATAAAATTACTTTGCACATCCAAGAACTTCTCCAACAGGGTAAAAAAGGAAGCCACAGACTGGGAAAAAATATCTGGCAATGACATGTCTGATAAGGGACTATGTAGAATTTATAGAATAGTCAAACGCCACAACAAGATAAACAACTCAACTGAAAAATGGACAAAGGCTATGAACAGACCCAAAGAAGACATTCAGATGGTGAACAAATACATGAAGAAGTGGTCAAAATTCCTAGCCCTAAGAGAGGTTCAAATCAAAACATATCCTCTTATCCTAGTAAGAATTTTGCTATTCTTCAACAGAGCTGCAACAGCAAATGCTGGTGAAGTTGTGGAGAAACTGGAACCCTTATTCACTATTGGTAGGATTGAAAAATAGTGCAACCACGATGGAAGGCAGTATGGCACTTTCTCAAAAAGTTGAAAATAGAAATATCATTTGACCCAGCAATTCCACTACTGGGGATAAACCCTTAAGAAACCATAACTGCCACCAAAGCAGATATATGCACACTCATGTTTACTGCGACTTTGTTCGCAATAGCCAAGAGCTGGAAACAACCCAAGTGCCCATCAACAAAGGAATGGATAGAGAAGCTATGATATATTAACACAATGGAATACTATGTTACATTGAAAAACAAAGAACTCATGAAATATTATACAAAATGGGTGATCCTGGAAGACATGCTGAATGAAATACCTCAGTCACAAAAGAATAAATACTGCATAGTGTCACTGCTGTAAAATGGGACTGACATTAGGGTTGGGGTGACCTAAGAAAAGAGGGGATAAATAATGTATACTGCATTGAAACAGACGAGGGAGAAAACTGTTTAAAAGGAATATTGTTGTTGTTAAGTGCCATCGAGTCCCTTGTGACTCATAACGACCTTATGTACAAGAGCCCTAAATGTCGTTCTATTCTGTGCCAACCTCGCTGTCTCCAACACACTCATTCTGACCACCCCAATCACAGAATCGATCCATCTCATCGAAGGTCTTCCTCTCCTGCGCTGTTCCTCCACTCTCCCAAACATGTCCCTCTCCAAGGACCAGTCCCTCCTTGCAATAGGCCCCAAATATGTCATACGAAGTTTCAGAATCCTTGACTCCAAGGAGCATTCCAGCTTCAACCTTTCCAGAATAAACCTGTTTGTTCTCCTAGCAGTCCATGGTATATTCAACACTCTTCTCCAGCACCACAGCTCAAAGGCATCAATTCTCTTTCTATCATCCCTA